TTTACAATTCAGACAATTTTGGTAAGCTTTTTTTTCTCTTTGATGCAAAATTTTCCATAATATTTATAAAAAAATTAAGAAAAAATTACACATATACCGCAATATTCTAACTACGAAGAGAACGAGGAGGTAATTTCTAGTGTATCAAACAGAAAGAGGTGTTATGACCAAATGTTCAATTTTTGGGACATTTACATCCATACCACACAAATTCTGTGTATTTACATATCTAACACCTTAGCATTCATATTTACATTTACATGCATAGGATAGCACCCCGTTCCATTTGTATGTAAGAAAATATAGAGGTAATTATATAATAAAATACTAAAAATAGCCTTCACACTTATAACATGACCTAACCTAGCTTACATGATACTTAAAGGCAGTCAACAATATTCGTTGGACATTTTTTCTGGAAGATTTACATCCATACCACTCAATTCATATTTATTTACATATCTAACCTTTAAATTTCAATTTTGACATTTATGCCGCCTTATGCATGCATGTATAGATGTATTTCAACTATAGTTTTCATTTCTATCAAATTTTGATCATGACAAATGTAAATACATTGGTTTGGCAGTTCAAAAATATTACATGAGTGCTAGATTCTGTAGATAGAGATGTTTTTGATGCCATGCATGTAATTGTGGGAAAGATTTGGGTGGTATAAATGCAAAAAGAAAAGTTTAGGTACTAAATATATAAAAGAATTGGGTGGTTCGAAGATAAAAGTGAATGATTAATTAGCAGGAACCCTTAACGTCTGTGCCACTCAATCACCAAAGCAAAAGATTCCTTTCACTTTGCTGGCGTTTGATAAGAATTTTATGCAGCTATGAAATAAAAATAAAAAAGTGAGATAGAAAAAGAGGGTTTGAATGGTAATAAAGTTTTTTTTGAGGCATCTTTCTGCATCATTTGTGCTGACGCTTCATGTGTCGTGTGGAACACAGGCAGATGCGTTCTCATTTGTGCTGACGCTTCATGTGTCGTGTGGAACACACACGCATATGCGTGCTGTGAACCAATAAAAACATTTCATTTACAAAAAGTGTGTATCAGTGAGCCTCATTTTAATTTTTTAATTTTTTTAAAATCTTATTGGACACAAATTGCGTGTGCTGTCTGCACAGAATAATCGCTCGTTCCGAAGGCCCAATTTGTCTGGAGCTTTGAAAGAATTTAAAGAGGAAATTAGAAGTATATGGAAATGGGCACTTACATACATATTGCCCAATTCTTATCTAATTACATATCTAACACCTTAACTTTACCTTTTACACTAATACTAACCAATTCTTTCATATCACCTAAAAATAATATCATTTGAATTTTTAAAAAGTGAAATGCAACATTTTATACAGTTGGTATAGTGGCATGAATGTAAAAATTTAAATTTAGGTGTTAGCTATGCTAATACAAGGAATTGGGTGGTATGTGTGTAAATCTACCTTTTTATTTATTGTGAAAATTTGAGTTTTTATATTTTGGGATCATGGGATATTTGAGATGTGATGATGATTTGATAGATCTTTCTTTATATTTTTTACAGATGAAGTAAAACCAATTGAGGATGTTGGCATCCATACAACCCAGTAGATATCTGTATAAGGAGGGTGAAAGAAGAGAGTTGATGTGTTCTCTAAGCATGTATTCTCTGTATCTTCAATGATCCTCCTCCGGTGAGACGGCCAAGCATGCATTCTCTGTATCTTCATATGGCTCATAAAAGATGATGAAAGTTGTGTCAATTCTTTTAGCATTGATCCTTACTTCGACTGTTTTTCAATCTCCAGGACCTTCAGTTGGGCTAACCCAGTAGACAGGTCTGAGGAGCATCCCAATTCCTAGGTAAGAGATGGGTAGTACTTTCACGATTCAAGGGGAGGCTGAAATGAACAAATGAATCCACAGATCAGATTCACGAGATCAATCCAACATGTCAATCTGTTAGGTCAATCCGTCAGGTCGGCCGATCATACATTATCCAAATTTTAAAACCATGGACTTTCTCGGAGCAACACATTCATCTGGCCAATATATCATTCAAATCAAATGTGTGAAATAATGGCCATTATATTTATATGAATAAGATCTACATCAACATGATCATCATGTACAGGTGTGCATTAAATCAATGGGATCTGTCTAGGGGCGAGTCAATGCACACCAATTATTGTTTGTCACATTCATATGAAGTAATATTCCATGGTGATATCAGAGAGAAATTGTGGGCGATTCTCCCTTCAAATTCAAGAAAAATCACATATAATTTGTCTCAATAATATTATCAGAGAATCTTCCATAAATTTGAATAAGTGTTTGAAGTTGAGATAAGAAATAGGCCTTTTTATAAAGGGGATATTTACATACATAGCACTTAATTTCTATGTATTTACATATATAAAACTTTAATTTTATTTTTTTACATTTATATCACTCAAACTTTCATGTCGCTCTTTTTAACTTTTAAACTTTTAAAAAGTTTAAAAAAAAAAAAAACATTTTTTTTTTATGAAAAATTGGGTGGTATTTATGTAATTATTCTTTTTACGAATTAAGAGTACGGTGTTTAGGGGTGTAAGTGAGTCAAGCCGACTCATGAGCTAGCTCGATAAGCCAACAAGTCAATCTCAAGCTAGCCTCGACTCAACTCGTTTAAAAAAATATTAGTTTAAAATATACTAAAATATATTAAATTTTCATGACTTTATAGTTAAGGTATTAAGAATGTTTTAAAAAATAATATTTTGTATTGTATATTATTTTTCATTATTTATCTTTTAATTGTTTAGGGTTCATTTGTTTTATCATCTTATTATAATGCAATCTTGAATTAATATCAATTACATGCTTTTATACAAAATAAGCCGGCTCGCGAGCCAGCTCATAGACTTAAGCTCGAAATTGAGCTCGATAAAATAAATCAAAGCTCAAGCTCAAGCCAAGGGCGGGTCAAGCTCGATTCGTTTACACCCTAATCAATGTCAATTTATATTCCATTAAGGAAATAATCAAAAGTCCTAAAGCCAGTTAAAATAATTCTATTTTCTAACAAAAAATATGTTTAAATGATTTTCAACCTTTACCAAAATAAAATAAAATAAAATTATATATATATATATATATGTTAATGGATTATTATTCTGACACACGGATTCTCTAACCATTATGAGCAAAAAAAATTATGAAAATATTTACCAATATATATATTAATGGATTATTATTCTGACACACAGATTCTCTAACCATTATGAACCAAAAAAATTATGAAAATATTTACCAATTTTTCTTTTAAATCATTTTCTAATTTCACTTTACTTTCATTTTCCATTTCTAAATTCATTCTAATCATAGTTCACAATTCCTATGTATTTGTACATCCCACAACTAAACTTTAATATTTACACGTATAACACTCAAATCTTTAATATCACCTATAAATAAATTCATTCTAATCATAGTTCACAATTCCTATGTAGTTGTATATCCCACAACTAAACTTTAATATTTACACGCATAACACTCAAAACTTTAATATCACCTATAAACTAATAATATTATCACTTTTTAAAAATAACATACACATAAGCACATAAATATTATTTATGTAAAATATGAAATTTTAGGTGTGAGATACGTAAATGAATAAGACTTATTTACTAAGCATTTAAAAGATAATTAATAAGAGACCACTGGTAACAAAATATAAAATATCAAAATTTAACTAGTTTAATAATTTAGTCTTGAATTTTAATATATTTTGATTATATTTTATATCAACAACTTTTTAAAAGAGCCGGCTCATGAAGCTAACAAGTCAAGTCTGGGTTGGCTTGAGCAGGGCTTGTTAGCTCATTGAGCTTAATTCACAAACCTATTATCCACCAGAGCGCGAGCCGGCTTGGCTCAGTTACACCCCTAGTGCCAGCAATCTATTACAAAGGACCAACTAACAATGACCTAATTTTAACAATCCTCAATTTCACGTCCTGGTTCAATTAGAAGGGAAAATAGCTAATTAAATTTTAAAAGGTTAATAGTAAGCATAAGACAACATATATCAATTCAAATTAAAAAAAAAAATGCATTATATATTGCTTTTTGGCTTCAATATTTATGGAGTGCATAAGCCTGAATTTTAAACTATTAAAACATGTAAATTAATTTATCACGGACTTGGTGCTCATGCAATATTTACAATTAGAAGAAAAAGAAGTGTAAAAAGTATCAAAATGGTCCGCGTACTTTTGCGCGTCAAGTGTCAATTAGTCCCCAAAGACTTGTTTAATATTGGCTAAAACAGCTCATATCAAAAGAGTTTGGGGATTAATTTAGCACTTAATAGACTGGGACTAAAATGACTCAATGTATAAAGTCAAGGAATAATTTTGGCACTTTACTTGACATGAAACTGAGCAACAATTTTCCTTTCAAGCCCTATTCTTTTAATAGCTTAGAGTTCTTTATGATAAGTATGAGCATTCAAAATAGCTAGGAACTAAACCAACGTTTTTTCCTTTCAGTCCCTGTTCATACAAATGAGCAAAACCCCAACTATTTTGGCGCAAACCACTACAAATTAAAACCTGGTCATATACTGGACTAACTAAAATAAAAAAAAAAACAATACTCTCTGTCAATATGAAATACACATTCTGAATGCTGAACCCTGATCATATACTGGCCTTAATAACTTAAAAAAAATTATACTGTCAATATGAAATGCACAATTGGTATCATGTGGACAACCAACAAAACTAAATTTTTGGAAAACACTGGGATGTTAGAATTATCAGGATAACCTTCTCTCATTTACGTAAATTATTAAGCTAATTTTACAACATAAAAAAAAAAACAAAAAAACTTCAACAATGAAAAAACAGTAAACAAGTCATACAATCATGCTCTTTAGTGCTAATATGGAAGCTAATATGGAATAACTTGATGAATAACTTGATTCATATAACAATAATTTAATGTTACTGCCAAGGAAGTTTTTATAATTGAAATTTGATCCACACGCTATAGTTTATCAGAATGTCAAAACTAACTCGTCACAACTGTGGGCTCCAAAAAGCCGACCTCCACAGACTCTCTCAGAAAGAATAAGAAAAATGAGAATGAGATGAGAGAGTTTGCAGTGAGGTTTCAAGTCAAATTTTTAGAAGGCAGATGATACAGTAGATAAGATACTAACCAAAGATTTCACCCTCATTTTGCGAGGAATTTAAAATCCGGGGTTCGAGGTTTCTCATGGCGCAAGCCCATATGGTTAATTGCCCCTATTAATAATAGAAGAACACTTTCAGTTAATGCTACTCATTATGCGGAAGTATTCAACTTAGTATATAATAACAACATATTTTTAAATTTTAAAAGTATGCAATTATCATCATGAGATTAGAGTGGATAATGCGGGAAAGATGATGCCCCTGATCAAGATCTCATGGCTCCATCATTCTAGTTTGTTATAGTACATAGCCTACTTAATTAGATGAGACAGTCGACCCAACCTGACAGAATGATCATTGTACATAGTCATGAGTTCTTCGTCCAAGAGAAACTTATAGAATTATGATGGATGTTTGTCCAAGGGGGACTAATCTAAGTTTAAGCAACCCGCCATGTCATTGTCTAAGGGGATCATTGTCTAAGGGGACTTATGATGAATGTTTATCTAATTTAAGTCATTTGAAAGCAAACCGCCATGTTAGTACGCTCTAAACATAATCACTTCATTGTAATGTTATTTGACAACAAAATTATTCAGATAGAAGACTCGAGCCACATTCTTACTGACATGAGATTATTTTGAATATGAATATAATAGTATACATGGCATTGCATTAGCTTTATGTGAGCTTATGTTAACATTAGATTTGACACCCTCGACAAACAGTCGTAGAGAATGGATAAGTTTTCGCTCTTATCTTTTAAATGAAATATTTTAGTTGAGCATTTTTATATTTTTATATTTTGAAGTCTTTTAATTTTAGGATAGACCCCTCCGGTTGGACTTGCATTCAACATAACCGTCATCGAGAATTTAAATAACTTTGAACCATGTCAACTCTATTCTGATTATAAAGGATAGAATTCATAACCTAAATCAATTGAGTTTGTTTAGATGTTATTTTGAGTTTAATCTTAAAGATAGACCCCTCCAATTAAAATATTCATATCAACATGGTCATTATCGAAAAATTGATACAAATACATAATTTTATAATTTAATTAGGTTTAATGATCTAAGCATTCAAACAAAGGTTAGTCCTGTCAACTTTGATCAATGTTGGGGGGATTAGATTGGCTTTAGCAAGGGCTCAATCTTGTCAATTCTAGTCCTTATAAAAATTAGGATCAAACTGCAGGCTCATTCATTAAGAAGTCATCGAGGTCTCATAAACTTTATGTGCACCTATTTATATTAAATTCCGTCTTTTATATTTTTTTAATGATTTAAGTCCTAATTTTATCCTTGATTTAAAATTTAGAATTTTCTTTGTTTTAATTTAATAATCAATTTAATTATTCATTATAAACAACATTTAGATGAAAATTTGGCAACATTTTGATAGCCTCTTGACGTCATTATCGCGTAGAGGACTACAAAAAAGTTGGGCATACTCATCACGTTAAGAAAGAAGTGCATGGTGGTTTGTACCACGATTTAATTTATTTATCCCACCCACGCTAAGACAAAATGTGCATGAGTTTTCAATTTGAATGAAAACAAACATAGTAATAGGCTTTCTCCGCAACACTAAAAAAGTATATATGAGTACTTAAATAGTGGTCCGCATCCCATCTCTACCATGTAATGAAAAATGTGTATAGGAGTATCAATTGCAAATGAAAACAAGAGCACATATATAACAAAATTTTTTCGCCGCGCAAATAAATGAGCATACAAGTACTTAATTTTACGGTTCGGTATCATTGCCATCCCCACTATACTAAAAAAACATATATGGGGGTTTCACCAACATAGAAGCATACAATCATATAGATTTTTATCACAATGATAAGAAAGATGTGTATGAGTTCTTAAATTTGGATCCTGCAAGCTCACATTAATAATTAGACATTCACAGGACTCAATGTGCGTTTGTTTCGGCTGCGGTTTTATGAAATCTCAATTCAAAAACTGCTGCAAAAAAACTGTTGTTCAAAAGCTAGGGGGTTTCAAAATGAGTTCATCTATTTGAAAATTACAGGTTTAAAAGTGTTGTCTGTAGACAAATGTCTTAAATACCCCTCTATATATATTTTATAGAATTTATGGGTATTTTCGATGCATTTATTTCTCATATTTAACTGTATTATTTGAACAAACAGAAATATGAAAGTAAAGTGAACATTACATTATAGAATAAAGAGAAGGCTATACTTTAAAAATTGTATTTTTCTAAAAGTTATTCTCTCAAGTAAATTTGAAAAAAAAAATATGAAAATGGACAAATATTCAGAATAAGCAAATGATTGTGAGTCAACAGATTTTCACTCACAAGACCTTTATTCTGAAACTAAGGACGGACCCCAAACACAGACTTTCTTACTTCCCATTTCTCCATGTTTGATTAACCAATATGAAATGCCAACAACCCATGATTGAAAAACTTTACGTGGCTACAACACTTTGGGTCCACAACCCAATTTTCGGGAATACCTTAATGCATTAGGAGAATTAGTAACGCTCAAATCTAAAAGTTACAAGGCTTGAAAGCTAAGAGGAGATAAACAAATTTTCCATGCTTAAGATAAGTCATTTACCTTGCAATTTTAAAAAATACCAAGCCAGTTAAGCTAGGACGAAATATATGACCTCAAAAGCTTGGAAGCAATTGGCGGCATACTCACAAATCAATTTGGCAGAACAATCAGCAAATCTAATTTGTAGTCATCAAGCTTGGAGACATATCAAACTAATCATATTAGATGAGCTAGGGAAAAACATCATACAAAGAAAGCAGGTGCAAAATGAACCAGATCGACCATCAAAGACTGACATTTTTAACCTCAGCAGCACTTCTGTTGGGCTATAACCAACAATCCAAAACCCCAATTAGGCATCAATCATTCGCCGAACAAAAATCTATCGAATCTTCAAGATAGAGCAAATAGACAATGTCGGTCATCCTCCGGGAGGGATTCCGAGAGCAGCCGGCAATAAGCTGAAGTATCAGCGATCGCCGAATCGATCGGCGATTAACTTCTGTAGTTTTGGGGTGTGTTTCAGAGCACGGCAAAATCAGGTAGAGAAAGAAGACAGTGATGTCAGCTAAGGGTAATGAAGGAAAATAAAGAAGCGAACCGCGGGGCGTAGATAGTGGCCCGCGGTCGCCGGTAAACGAAAATCCCCACCACAATTCGGATGCGGTCTGACAAAAGAACGAATCAAACACCAAAACTACGTTTCAGTTCTAAAATCAGTTCTAAACACCGAAACAAAGGCACCCTTAAATGATGGCATAAGAGAGAGGGAGCTTGAACTCTCGGGTAAAGAGAGAGTGAGGACTAGCTACTTGCAGATGTGAGTTATGGCTACAGGATTGTCAAGAGAGCAGGCAAGTGAAAAGATAAATGAATCTCGTGCATGAGTTTGGTGAGTTGAAGATGAATAGCCCATGAATTTGAATGCTGGTGAAGATGCATGCTCAGTTCGGTGGAGTAGCTGGGATGAGGCATGAGAATAAGAAGTAGCAAAAATGGCCGCGAATAAACGAAAATCCCCACCGCAATTTGGGATGCGGTCTGACAAAAGCACAAATCAAATCAAACAACCATAACTACGTTTCAGTTCTAAAAACCGAAATAAAGGCAACCTTAGAGGATGGCAAGATGATGTTTGGTAAGAGAGAGGGAGTTTGAACTCTAGGATAAAGAGAGAAAGAGAGGAGAGTGAGGACTAGCTACTTGCAGATGTGAGTTGTGGCTACAGGATTGTCAAGATATCAGACAAGTGAAAAGATAAATGAATCTCGTGTATGAGTTTGGTGAGTTGAGGAATAATAGCCTATGACTTTGAATGCTGGTGAAGATGCATCCGCGGTTCGGTGGAGGAGCTGGGATGAGGCATGAGAATTGGAAGTAGCAACAATGGTCCGCAAACAGACTTGGGATTATAGAAGGGAACAAGGTCCGGCGAGGTTCAGATTTTGAGCTGCTCATCCATAGGTCCATAGGACTGTTCGATGGGGGGCAGTAGAACGAAGTTTGCTACCGAATTGAGCTGAGAAAACAGCAAGATCGGTGGCTCAAATTGCAAAGGGGAATTTGTCGAGTGCGTAGAATTGCCCCTTAGGCAAAGCACGAGGGGAACAATTATTAGTCGAGCACGAAGAAAAGAGTGCTTAACGGAGATGATTTTTGGTGGCTAATAATTTAAAGGAGAAAGGAGAAAAGCTATCGATCGAAGAAGAGGAAAGGAGGCAGGGTCGATTCAACCATGAAAAGACTAGACAATTATGGTTAGCAAGGAAAAAAATGAGGGAAGGGCTTGTTGTTGTAGGGCAGAGGATTGTGATGCTATAGCCCAATACCCTCTATATATCAAGAGGAAAGATGATGTGGAAGGTCGGTGTCTAGCCTCGGAAAACATACGAGCTAGCGATTCAGAAAGCTTCGAGCAGAAAAGGAGTGTGATTCACAAGCTAACAGAGGTGAAGACAGCAGGGACGGAAGAGGCGAAGGTGATGGCAAGGGAGGGCTCTGGTTTGATTCGTAATTCGGGTTTTGTAGCTGCATTGATAAGGCTCTATTTGGTTTGTAGGAATTGCAAGATAAATGAGAAATGAAATGGCAATGGAAATGTTAAGGAAATTGAATTGAAACAAGATTTCATCTACTAGTTTAGTTGAGAAGAAATTGAGCTTTTGCTTCTTATAAGAGAGAGCATGTAAATCTCAATGATGACAAGTAAAATTTCTTACAGCCTCATTAGTTGATTGGAAAATTGTCAAGGGAAAAAAGCATTTGCTAATATTTCCCAAGTAAAACAATTAACTATTCGTTAAATTGTAAACAGACACTTAATATGAATTTGACAAATGAAACACACCCTTATTGTCTGCTTTTGTTCCACTAAAATTCTTCTAAAACTAAGCAATGGCCCCAAAACAGGAATACTGTCATTCAATTAGCTCAGCAAAGTTGTTAAAACTATTGGGGAGCCAAATAAGCCCTTGATACCCGCATAATATCTTATACAAAGGATCAATGGACTATTTTATCCAATATCCAAGCAAAGTACTCTATATATACATATAAGTTAAAAAAATGGAAAGAGGAAAGAATTTGCATCATACCGATCTACAATTTCTCACCTACAGTTCTAAGCCGCATCTCTAGCAGCCGTTCTCGAAACTCTCCATCACTAGCCTTGAGCATATCCCCAAGTGAAATCCATGAAGAACCAAACCCTCTCTCCACCAACAACATATGCCGAGCTTTAATCCTTCCCTCAAGACTATACGCAAAGTACTGCGGAAACACCTTCAACTCTCCAATCTCCCTTCCCATTTCGCCAACTAGAAACTCGAGCTTAGGCCGAAAATTCTTCTCAACACTAAAAGTGAGCAGACTCGGCAACCTCAAAACCATGTTTACCGTCTCCCTTCGCGAGAACCCAAGGCTCTGGATAAAATCAAGCTTGGGAATAAGCGTCTCCTCGACGTCTGAGATGAGAAGGACTGTAGTACGAGCGGTGATGCGGTGGCGGCCGACAAAACCAAGACGGCGGAGGTAATCAAGGGAAGGAAACAGGCGGTCAGGGACACTGGAGAGGAGAAGGCGAGGGCAGCGATTGATGGAGAGGCGAAGGTCTGAGAAGGGGATGGATACGGGGTTGAGAAGGAAGTGGAAGACGGGGAGGATCGAGGTGGAGGGGTCGGCGGTGAGAAGGGATGGGTGGAGGCAGAGGAGGCGGGAAGTGTCAGATTGAAGGAGGCCGAAGGAGGAGAGCAAGGAGGAGAGCATGCGGAGGGAGGAAAGGGGAGTGGAGCGAAGGTTGGGATTGACTGCAAGGGCGCGGAGTGAGTTGACGCCGAGGTTGTGTTCGATAAAGAGAAGCTTCTCGCGGAAACTGAGACCGGCGTCGTTGCTAGAGATGGCACGAGTAAGGGCCGCCGGAGGCAGAGGGCGGAGGGCAGAATTAGGGTTTAGTTCTTTGAAAGATTTGGGCCGAGAGGGAAGCAAGAAATGGAAGGGGCAGCTGAGCATTATGAGTCAGATCGGCGGGGCTATGAACATAATCACATTCATTTACTCTTTTATCCTTTCTTCCGAAAAATTGGTGGGTGACCCTAAAACAATTTTAGGCTGTGCCTACTCTAATAAAAAAAAATTATATTTCAGTGATCCAGATCGACACCGCACATAAATTTATGTGCGATGTCCGTAGACAATAAGCACTCCCTTTTTTCGTTAAAATTATTGTGTGTCAATAACCTCACACCAACATAACTTTTCAGACTTGATCATGCCGTCGTTAATTAAACCGAGGCCCATTCGAACCACCTCCACGATGGCCCATATGGAACATCATTTTCAACGGAGGGCCCATGAAAGGTCCACTCCAATAATTACCTCCCCTCAATTTAAATTTTTTATTTAAATGTGAGATAATTTATTATTTTTCTCCTTACGAAATATCAATTTTGCACCTCTAAAGTATCATTTTGTCATTCATTATCCTAACCTCCCACACGTTGGGTATATGGGATAGTTTTTCCCCCTAAAAAAAGAGGTTTTTTCGACCTCTGAATTCATCCAGACGTACGATCTCCACACGCAATAATTTCTACTTACTAAACATGATATTTCACCTAATTATTTCAAAGTGAATTTTTAGCTAACTAAAAAAAAAAAAACATTAGACTCGTAATAACTAATATTTATATCTATATACCCTCCTTAATATTTTTCAAATTCACCTTTCCTGTTTCTCTAAGCATCTATTTTTTCTAACTCGCCTTTATTTAGCTATTTTCAATATGAATAAAATAATTAATTTATATTTCATATACTTTCTGAAGCATATGATTATTAATTTGTATTATAAATAAATATATTATAACATATGTATTTAAATAAAATCACAGACCTTAGGTCCAAAAATATTAGAGAATTTGTATGTTATAATATTTTATGAAATGATTATATAAATATTTCAAGTACTATTTTTTATTTTTTATCAGCATATATTTATTTATATTATATTATAACTATTAAAAAAAGTAATGGCAGTCACTCCTTCGGATTAAAAAGGTTGTTTCGTTTGTGCCCCCATCTACAATATTTCCATAACTTTGTCCTAAAGCGCACACTAATTTCAATGGTAACTTCAAAAGGAGAACCAAAACAAGATTGTTGGATGAACAACACAAACTTGAAGCATTTAACATAATAGAAATCTAGTTCACCATTTAAATGGTGAAATTACAATTAACTTTTTTGAATGGCAATATTAAGCTTGGAGTAACTACAAAAGTCATATGACAATCAAAATCTAGTTCACCATTTAAAACTTAATTGTAATTTCATAACAAGATTTCTTCTTTCATTAACTCATGTTGAAAAGTTGGATGAATACATATAAACAAAAAGTTAATGAAAAATTGAGTTCAATTTTGTCAATTTTACCAAATATTAAGTAAATTTTGGGATTGCCAATGGTGTTTTAGCAGTCCTTTGAGAATGCATTATCGAACTAGTTACAATAACAAGCACGTTGATTATTTTGGTGAATAAAGAACTTAATATTAGAACTATTCCTCCAAATATGAATGCATGTCATGTTGCAACCACAGTTAAAGGAAACATGAAAATATCACTGGCCATTTTAAACAAGTAGGTGTAGTCGAAAGTGTTTAGTTTACATTAGTAGTTAACATATATTTAATAATCACGATGTATTCATGCACCTTACTCACATTATCAATTGTCTATTTAATTTGTACTTAAGTTTATTTATTTTGATCGGGGAAAATTAAGATAACAATTTTTTTATTATCATCAAAAGTTTATAAGATTCCATATGTTTTGTTATTTATTTCATAGATCAACAACATTTGTTGCTTATATTTTTTTATTTTTCTCATTCTTTAACATGGTTAGGGATTTGTGGTGTAGCATCCATTTTAGATTTAAAAATTTTCGTAGCACAAGAAATATAATAAAAGAATTATATTTGCTTGGTAGTGGATGTCACATAAATTATGTACTTTTAAATTGTGGACTTTCTCATTCTGCATTTCTAATGATGAAATTTTCCTTTGCTAATATCAAAAATCAAAGCTTTATGACTTAAGAGATAGTATTTTGATCATCATTAATATTTTCTACATGTACAAATAATTAGTCTCCAGGTTATTGTTGGACTCCATGACCACCTCACTCCGTGATGTGATCGAATGCATAGAAAATAACTAAGAATGATAGATGACACTTGAAACACCAGACAAACTATGATTAATACGCCCCACACTAATTAGAATCAATTATTCATCTTTAAGGTAACAAAATAAATTGTTGATATGTCTCTCTGCCTACAAGCCACCAACCAAAATTTGTAAGTCTCGTCAACATCCCCTACTTCTAATTAAGCCACCAACCTGTCATAATAACTAGCATTAGCCTTAGACTTATTCAAAAGTGTTCTCGAATGGTTGGGAGGGGTAATTAATCAGAGAGGATTACACTCATGAAAAATTTTGAAACCCATATTTTAATGCCCTCACAAAATGAAGATATATTCTTTGAGTACCATCTTATTTACAATCTAATATGCTTCCTAAAAATTTTGGCATGTACCATCAACATAAAGCTCTTAGTCGTTCGAGGGAGGGCATGACACTCATTTTTTTAGCCAATATTAATGTCTATCACAACCCGCTCGTTGAGCTTGATAGCAATCATAATAACCCAACAAGTGGGTATAATGTTAAAATTAAGAAATATTTCAATCAGTATAAATGTACTTTCAAGAATATTTGCATCCACATAAGGCCTTCATCGCATTAAATTAATTACACCTATTAATATCCACTATATTGTTTATAAAAATAATTGCATTATTGAATTAATTAAAGAATAATAACTTTAAGCACCATAATGATATAGTTAAAGCATGTAGCTAAAATCTCTTATAGATGGCGCATGTCTAGTAAAATGATTATTTCTGCGTAAAGG